AGTCAATATACAGCATTTAGAGTAAGGCCTGGGATGTGGCTAGCACTTTAACGTTTATTTATAATTCTGCTTTTAGTGTAGTAGCTCCTAATTTGTTTTAGACACTAAAGCCCCCATTTGAAAGAAAAACCAATTTTTCAGATTCCCATGTGATGATTATAGACCTTTTAAAGATTTGCATGGTGAGCAAATACATAATGACAAGATGCTAGTGGGAATTCAGTGATTCTTCTATATTAGAGTGGGGCTCACCACTGTCCAGAACTACCTCAGAGTTGGGGCAGGGCTTTTCCTTCCACATTGCCACCCATCTGTGTGTCAAGGCTTGTTTCAGAGGTGCTCATGAATGGTGGCCATTGAAAAGGCGACTATTAACATCATGCAGGTGGGATGAGTTCAGCAAAGTCTCTGGACACCCACCGGATGCCCCAGTAATGCATGGGAACAAGGACTGTCACTGAGAGAAGCCTGCTGGTCCCTCCAGTAACCAGCATGTTCTGACTCATTCCTGCTTCTCTACTCAATGGTCTATCCACACGTGAGTCCTGACCTCTGTTCTAGGTCACACATCCCATTCTCTTCTGGCCTGAGGCTCCATCACCTACTGTGCTTGGGGATAGGCAAAGGAGGTAAGTTTTTTTCCCTCTACCATTATGTCATAAAATCTAATCCCGACTTCCTTAGGGTGTTCCCCTTTAATTCTGAAGGCAGGAACTATTTTATTCTCTCTGTATTTCTACTACAACAAACCTAATTCTCTTACAGAAGAGTGTAATCACTGATGAGGAACTGGTCCTAATCCTGCATGTCACCATTGTATGACACTGGTCAAATCACTTCACCCCTTGGTGCACCAATTTCCTCATCTGTAAAACTGGGAGACAAAATTGCCTCAGTTATGAGGTCCTGGGTATTTAAATGAGATCATGCATGGAGCAACTCGGTGGTTCAATCAGTTGAAGGTCCGACTCTTGATTTCAGCTCAGGCCATGATCTCATGGGTCATGAGATCCAGCCCCAAGTCAGGCTCTGCTCTCAGTGAGGAGTCTGCTTGAGGATTCTCTCCCTCTGCCCCTCTCCCCACTAGCATGCACCCTCTCTATCAAATAAATATATAAACATTTTTAAAACCCACTAAAATAAATAAATGACATAATGTATGTAAAGTACTTAGCACAATGGAAGGCTGGGCCCATGGGGTAAGCTCAACTTAAAAAACTAGACAGGCACATGAAACTGAAGACACAAAAGTCTATTGTTTTTCTTGAGTCTGAAACCAGAATTTTTTTTTAAAGATTTTATTTATTTATTCATGAGAGACAGAGAGAGAGAGAGAGAGAGAGAGAGGCAGAGACACAGGCAGAGGGAGAAGCAGGCTCCATGCAGGGAGCCTGATGTGGGACTCGATCCCGGGACAGCAGGATCACATCCTGAGCTAAAGGCGACGCTCAACCACTGAGCTATCCAGGCATCACTATGTTTAGAGGAACTGTCAAACTATGTTCCAAAGCAGCTACACCATTCCATGCAGGAAGCCTGATGTGAGACTCGATCCCAGGACTATGGGATCACGCCCTGAACCAAAGGCAGACGCTCAACCACTGAGCCACCCAAGCATCCCAACCTGTCTTTTTATTATAGCCATTCTAGTGCGTGTGGTTTCTCATGGTGGTTTTGATTTGCATTTCCCCAATGACTAATGATGTTGAGCATCTTTTCATATGCTTCTGAACCATTTGTATGTCTTCTTTGAAGAAATGTCTATTCAGATCCTTTGCCTATGCTACAAACATGGTTAAAACTTAAAAACGTTTTTTTTAAATGATAATTGACCATTTTATTTTTTCTTAATTTTTATGTATTTATGATAGTCACAGAGAGAGAGAGAGAGGCAGAGACACAGGCAGAGGGAGAAGCAGGCTCCATGCACCGGGAGCCCGACGTGGGATTCGATCCAGAGTCTCCAGGATCGCGACCTGGGTCAAAGGCAAGCGCTAAACCACTGCGCCACCCAGGGATCCCCTTAAAAACGTTTAAAACTGGATTGTCTCTTTTATTGTTGAGTTACAGAAATTCTTTTTATATCCTGAATATTAGATAAATGATTTGCAAATACTCCTATTCTGTAGGTTGTCTTCTCACTTTCTTGATAGTGTACTTTGAAGCATAAACATTTTTTATTGTGTTGAGTCCAATTTATCTATTTCTTTCTTTTGTTGCTTGTGCTTTTGGTTTCGTAACTAAAAAACTATTGCCTGACCCAAGTTCATGAAGACTTATTCTCACATTTTCTTTTAAGAGTTTTACAGTTTTAGCTCTTACATCTCGATCTATGATCAATTTTGAGTTACTTTATGCATATGGTGTGAGGTAGAGGGCATGTAATTTTAATTCCCTCTCAGCCTCTCAATAATCACCTACCATTTGGTAAATTCCCCGAACATCACACGGGGCAGCCCCGGTGGCGCAGCGGTTTAGCGCCGCCTGCAGTCCAGGGCGTGATCCTGGAGACTCCGGATCCAGTCCCACGTCGGGCTCTCTGCCTCTGCCCCTCTCTCTCTTCTCTCTCTCTCTCTCTCTCTCTCTCTCTCTCTCTCTCTGAATGAATAAATAAATAAATAAAAAATCTTAAAAAAATAAAATAAATTCCCGAACATCTCTACATTTCAATGTCCTCATTAATAAAATGGGAATGGGGATCCCTGGGTGGCGCAGCGGTTTGGCGCCTGCCTTTGGCCCAGGGCGCGATCCTGGAGACCCGGGATCGAATCCCACGTCGGGCTCCCGGTGCATGGAGCCTGCTTCTCCCTCTGCCTGTGTCTCTGCCTGTCTCTCTCATTCTGTGTGACTATCATAAATAAATAAAAATTTAAAAAAATAATAATAATAAAATGGGAATAATCATAAAGTTATGGCGAAGATAAAGAGAAAATGTATGTAAAGCACTTAGCAAAGTGCTTGAAGCGTCCTAACTGCAATAAGTGCGGTAATGACAGTGGGTGAATGCTCTCCTAGAGGAGGTACCACAAAAATGGGCAGCATTTCTGAGGAAGAAATTAGGATGGGGGAGGCCTGCTTAGTCGGCCCGGAGGAGCAGGTCTGTCGTGGATAGACCATGGCCTCCCTTCACCTCTAAGGGTTGGCAAAACTTCTAATTCCCGAGCGCATCCCGGAACTACTGTAAAGAAGGAGCCCCGGGGGCACAGAAGCTGCGCTTGTATCAACTTGCTCTGGCGCGTAGTTTCCAGAGCCGCGTGTGGGGCGCGGTGACGGGACCGCGCCGGCAGCGCCGCCTTTGGCCTGCAGGGGGCGACCGAGGGACCGGGTCGGCCACGGCGCCTGCGCGAAGCCCACTCCTCGCGGGGCCGCCCCAGCCGGATCCGCCCGGCTCAGCTGACAGCTCCCTACACGGAAGAGGCGGTGCCGAGCACTGGTTGAGCCGGGCGTCTCCAGGCCGGCCCGGCGGTGGCGGCGAGGGGACCAGGGCTAGGGCAGAGGGCGGAACTTTCTGGCTCGGCACGGCGGAGTGGCCGGAAGGTACGGTGTGGACCGCGCTCCGGGCGCGCGAGGCGGAGAAGAGCGGCCTGGCCGGGACTGCTCGGCGGGCCCGAGCCTCCCCCCCCCCCCCGGTTCCGGACAGGGCGTCCCCGGCCGGGCCCGGCCGAGATCCAGGGCAAGGTCCAGGCCCTGCTCGCTGGGGACGCCCGGGGCCGGCTCCCGGCCCCCTCGTTCGTACGGCGCTCTCGGCGCGCGGGCGCTGGGGCAGGTGGCGAGGCTGGGGCTCGCCCGCCGCCCCGCCTGCAGGTGAGTGGCGCCCACGACGACTCAGCACGCCGGGTCGTGCGCGGGGGCACAGCCGCGGCGGCGTGCTGACTCGGGAGCCGGGGCCGACCCCAGCTCTGCAGTTTGCACCGTGTGGCCTGGGAGGAGGAGGAGGAGGAGGATTTCCCGAGGCCGGAGGGAAACCCGGCGGCCGAGGGCTTGCGTCCCCCGGGTAGCCGCCTCCCGTGGGCCAAAGCCAGTATGAAACCCGATGTCTGCCTCTCGTCTCGTGGCGCCGGGGTTTGTTCTTGCTCCTGGGTTACAGGTGAAGAGACAGAGCGGTCTGAACCCAGATTTAGTTATATATTAGCGGTGTGACCTTGGGCCGGAAAGAGACTTAAACTGCCCTTTTTTCTCATCTGTGTAATGGAAACATTAAGAGGGACTTGCTGCATGGGGCTGTGGGAATTAAAGGGCTTAGCACAGTGCCTGAGTGTTACTTTTCTTCGTGTAACTGTGACTCCTGCTTCTAGTGGGTTGTGGCAGAGCAGTCCCTGAGCCTTACACTTCTGGTCCCCAACTCAGCACACTGCATCTCACGCCAATTCAGTTACGGTGTTTTGTTTTGTTTTTTAATCCAGTGTCAAACACTAGGCACTGGTAGATGCTGAGACCAACACACAGATGCAGAAGACTCGATCCTTGCCCTTACGGAGCTAATTAATGGAGTCTGATAGTGCAGGTTCTTCATAAACCGCTCAACTGCAAAGTGGGATGTGCTAATGCCCTAGGAAAGTTACAGTAACAACAACAACAACAAAAAGTTTGCTGGATTTTTGAAGACATCATCTCTAATTGAAAATTTCTACATAGAATAGGGGTTTGGGACATGAGCCTTAGAGGCTGAGTGGATAAAAATGAAAATGAAATGTAGGTCTGCCATGTGAATTAAGGGACTGGGACCTGATGGCAGGCAGCCTTAGAAGCTGGGGTGTGGTGGGGTAGGTATGAGGAGCTATTTAAGGGAAACACTGCTTGGATTAGAGCTTCTCAGTCCTAGGCACACTTAGGAATCAACTGGAGAGCTTGGAGAACTACTGATGGCTTGATTTAACTGCTCTAGGATATGGCCTAGGTATTGAGAGTTTGAAAAGCAGCTCCCCAGGTGATTCTAATGTGCAGACAAAATGGAGAACACTGACTAAAACCAGAATCATTATAAATTCATCTTTCACCCTGTTTATAAATGTTTAAACAGGAAGAAACAAAATTATATAGTCACCGGGCACTAGGTCTGGTAAAATTGTTTAAGATTAAGTAAAATAGTATAGAAGGACCTAATACAATATACAGTAGGTGCTCAATAAATGTGCATCGATTCCAAATTTCATTCTTAGTTTATTTGGGAGTCACACACATCTGAGAATCTGGTTTTAAAATTACTGTTTTGTATGACATTTTTGCATGTGACTTCATAGTGTTCTTAGGTTTCCCCATAACCCATCTATGGACCACCTTCCTTTTCCCCCTTATTCCTCGTTGAGAAGTCTGGCTCTAAAACTTTCAGAATACAACTAAAACTTGTTTTAAATATCTTTCTGTCATGGTTAAATTGACCTAACGTTGAATGTCCTTAGCAGGATTAATTTATTAGCAGGTAATTCATTAGTAAGAAATGAAGAAATAGAAGAAGCTGAAGAGGAAAGAAGAAACAGAAGCAGACCCAGGAAGATGTTTAGGTGTTTGTTACGGGACTTGATGTGCTCACTTCCCATATGACCTTGGTATTCCACCTCGGCTCCTCCCAGGGCTGAAGGCAGTCAGATAAGGCTTGTCATTGCTGATGACTTGCAAATACCCCTTTAACCACGTGGCTCAATTAGGCTTTCCTAAAGAAATACACAGCTGTAGATTGGCATTGACTATGTGTCAGGATGTATTTGACTTGAGTGGTAATAACAGAAATTCAGAATTTAAATTTGGAGATTGAGGGATCCCTGGGTGGCTCAGTGGTTTAGCGCCTGCCTTCTGCCCAGGGAGTGATCCTGGAGTCCCACATGGGCTCCCTGCGTGGGGCCTGCTTCTCCCTCTGCCTGTGTCTATGCCCCCCCCCCTCTCTCTGTCTCTCATGAATAAATAAATTTTTAAAAAATCTTTAAAAAAAATAAATAAATTTGGAGACTGTCCTAACACCATGTTTTTTTGTTTGTTTTTTGTTTGTTTTTTTTTAATTTTTCTGCAGATGGCAGGATTTCTATAGTATCTCTAGTATGAGTTCCAGATCTTGGCCTTGTATCCAACAGTATCAACAGTCTCAACACCACCTTCTGGAGAATAAATGGGATTTGCATGAATTCCAAATTTTGAACTGAAAAACAGACTGCAGTGTTAATATCCTTTTCTTCTGGTTGTTAATAACAGGTACTAACCTCAACGGAAATATGTCACTGTGTTCTATTTGGGATAGGGATGAAGCTTAAGCAAAACCATGATCATCTGTTGGCAAAAAAAAAAAAAAAAAAATTGAAAACAATCATTTTATATAAACTTGTTCAAATTTTATAGTGTCACCTTTAATAATGTCTTAACTTTTCAGTTGTATACATTTCAATTTAAAAAAATTTTTGAAGACATATTTGCAAATCCACTTAATAGTCCAGTATTTTTATTGACAGATCAGTAATTTTTTGTTTTAATGAATTTTTATAGATTCTCATTACATATTTTTCTGCATACACATTATCTGAAATTGTGGTGCATCTTTCAGTTGCTGCACTTAAAAAGCATCAATTTTACATTTTAATGGTAGTGTATTTTCATTCCTACTTTTGCCTAAAATAATGGTAAGTCTTAGAATTGTTTTGATGGACTCTGGTAGTATTTTTAAAAAATTAACGTTTCTTTGCTGCATCCTTAGTTATCTAACCCTCTCCTGTAGTATCTGCTCCTGAAATGTTCTCTAGAACAGGGTGCTCTCAACTGGGAGCAGTACCCCTTCTGCACCCCTGGTTGGGGAAGCACATTTGGCTATGTTGAGGGGGAGGCATGCTGTTGACATCTAGTGGGTTGAAGCCAGGGATTCTAGTACACATCCTGTAATGCACAGGACAGCCTCCCACCACAAAGAATTATTTGTTCCCGAGTGTCAAGAGTATTGAGGTTGAGAAAACTTGCCCTAGAGGTTTCTGTACATTTAAAAAACTCATTGATTTTTAGGAAGATATCACATATATTTTAGTCTTCTGTGAGCAAGGCACTTAGCTAGATTTGGTGGGCAAATCAAAATAATTTGTGATTTGTCCTTTTTTTTTTTTTTTAAGATTTATTCATTTATTAGAGAGTGCGCACAAGCAGGAGAGGGAGAGAGAAACTCAAGCCAACTCTACGTGGAGCATGGAGCCTGATGTGAGGCTTGATTCCACAACTCTGAGATCACTACCTGAGCTGAAATCAAGGGAGTCTGACGCTTAACTGACTATGCCACCCAGGGACCCCAATGATTTGTCCTTTTTTTTTTTTTTTTTAATTTAAAGATCTTATTTACTTATTCATAGACACAGAGAGAGAGAGGCAGAGACACAGGCAGAGGGAGAAGCAGGCTCCACACAGGGAGCCCAATGTGGGACTCGATCCCAGGTCTCCAGGATCACACCCCAGGCTGCAGGCGGCGCCAAACCGCTGCACCACCGGGGCTGCCCTGATTTGTCCTTTTTAAAAAAAATTTTTAAGGGCGCCTGAGTGGCTCAGTCAGTTGAAGCATATGCCTTCGGCTCAGGTCAATGATCCCGGGTCCTGGGATCCAACCTCATATTGGGCTCCCTGCTAGGTGGGGAGTGTGCTTCTTCCTCTGCCCTTTCCCTCTGCTCATGCTTTCTCTGGCTCTCTCCCTCTCTCTCTCAAATAAAAATATAAAATCTTAAAGTTTTTTTAAATCATGCTTTTTTTTTCTATAATTTTTTTTAAAGGTTTTATTTATTTATTCATGAGACACACAAAGAGAGAGGCAGAGACACAGGCAGAGGGAGAAGTAGGCTCCATGCAGGGAGCCTGACGTGGGACTCAATTCCGGGTCTCCAGGATCAGGCCCTGGGCTGCAGGCAGCGCTAAACCGCTGAGCCACCTGGGCTGCCCTAAATCATGCTTTTTTTTTTTTTTTTTTCTAAATCAGTGATATTTAACTGATGAAGGCAGCAGTTAGAAGCACCACAACTGTCATTTTTGAAAAAGTTACTGCTATTGCAACGCTACTGGAATATTAGATATGTCTATCATATCTAGTTTAGCAGAAAAGTGGAAATACAGAAATAGTGATTCTTTGCAGTTGTTTGTAAGGAACTTTACCTTTTTTTTTTTTTTTTTTTTTTTGGTGCCATTAGGCTTGTCCAAACTCTGTGCCTTTTCTGTTCTTAACTAATTTCAATGATTATCTTCAACTCTTCAGAAAATTAAATGTCGTCAGAAGATCGAGAAGCTCAGGAGGATGAATTGCTGGCCCTGGCGAGTATTTATGATGGAGATGAATTTAGAAAAGCAGAGTCTGTCCAAGGTGGAGAAACCAGGATCTATTTGGATTTGCCACAAAATTTCAAGATATTTGTGAGCGGTTAGTTAATAATATTCTCTTAAACAGATTTTTATAAATGTTATTCTCAATTTCTTAGTGTACCTCACACTTACTATCTTTTGTTTGTAGGCATTAGTGATGGTAGTACTACAGACTTAAGGCATGTTCCTGTTTTAATTGAAAATTGGACTGAGAGTAAATAGTTCTCAATTTGATTCGCCTTTTGACCACCAAATTGGGATATTATCCTGCATATTTCATGCATTCTAATTTTCTAACTAGCAGTTTATCAGCTATGAGTCATTGGCTGTTAAATAGGGATAATAAAAGAGAAAATGACATAATGTATGTAAAAATGCTTGGAAAGTTTTAAAGTCCCGTGGTGGTTGTTAATATTGTTTGGTTTCCAGAATCATTTCAACTACCATAAACCTGTGACATATGCTGTTATTCTGTGACCTTTTGCTTCAGAAAAAAAAAAAAAAACCAAACTACTTTTGATACAAATGTTCACAGAAGACTTTGATGCACACTTTCTCAAAATGTTTCTACCATAAAGGCATTGAGTAAAGAAAGTAAGTGTGATTTTTAAAATGAAACTTTGATTACGAGAATGTTGTGTGTTTTATCTTGCCCTCAAGCCTGAGATCATTGTGTTGGCACAAATTCTCCCAAGTATGATTCATGGGTAGTTGGCACATGCTGCTCTAAGTAGGTCATGGCTCTTTAATAGAAATAAACATCCTTTTCTCTAGATTGTGTCTGTAATCATCTACTGTAAAACAACAAAAGAAAACATTGTTTATTACTTGCTTATTAGCTAGTGTTAGGAATTGTACTCAAAAGTATACATGAGAATAAGTTATGTGTCTTCAGAAATATCACGGTGCTTAATAGATTTTTCAAGGACTTACAATTTTTTTTTTTTTTTTAAAGGTGGTGGCTATGAAGTTAAAGTAAGGAAATAGAAACTGCTTTGGGGGAGGGTTCTTCTCCCCTCAACTAAAGCATTAGTCCTTCTTGAGCACTGTTCAACAGTAATGGACACTCAAGTGTTGACCAGCTGATTCTTTCTAATCTTTGTTTTTGGTTCAGGCAATTCAAATGAGTGTCTCCAGAATGGTGGCTTTGAATACACCATTTGCTTTCTGCCTCCACTTGTGCTGAACTTTGAACTGCCACCAGATTATCCATCCTCCTCCCCACCTTCATTCACACTTAGTGGCAAATGGCTGTCACCAACTCAGGTTAGACCCGAAACTTAATTTCTCCTATCCGTTTTTAGAAACTTAAAAAAACATCTTTAATTGAAGACTATCTTGATGATCTTGAATTCATTGCATGAAGAACAAATGGCTTTGGTTTTGTAATTTTTTTTCCCCGTGCCTTCATGAATCCTAATGGTAATGAATTGAAAGTGTTTGGTGTTGTAGAAAGGAATGACATTAATTAGGATGACTAATCATTATGAATTGCAGTAGGAATAATTTTTAATCAGGTATATATATATATTTTTTTTTTCCTTATCTTGCTATTTTTCCACTTAATCTGCTTTGTAATAGAGATTATAAGGTCCTCCTAATATTCCTTAGATATTGGTATTACTTTTTTCCCTTAGTTTCTTACCATTCCTTAAATGAAGATTTAACTATAATTAGGAGGACTAAAATTGAGCTGATGTAGTTAGAATAAACACATTTCCTAAGTCAACATAATAAGCACTTTTATTTTTAGAGATCTGTGTATTAATAACAAATGTTGACTGGTCCCCCACAGATGTAAATGCACACAAATAGAAATGCATAGGATTCCTATATTTCCTATTTCACAAACTCTGTATTATGAAGCCTTCATTTCCTCTGGCTTACATATCCTTTTATAGTAACAGCCTCGGCTCTTGATTGAGACGTAAATATGACTTGAAGCTAATATAAAGTACTCTGGGATAGATAATGGATCAATAGCAGCTACTTCTCTAGAAGTCGTGATGAAGATTGATAGGCTGATGTATATTAAGACAAAAGCTGTCAGAGTTACTTGACCTCAAGGAACAGCTTGTCAGTTTTTCCCTTTTGATCATGGAGTTTTCATTCCACCCCACTGACCAGTCTAATCTTTCAGATGAGAGTGCTTTTGTAAAATTGAGCTTATGATTTAAAAACAAAATTAAATTTGAAGTTAGGATGATACATGTCTAATAAAAAAGGAATATTACCTAGCATTCTGATATCTGTGCCAGAGGCAATACATGTAATATAGTGAATTATTTGCCCAAGCATATCAAGACTGTTTGACATTTAGATCACTGAGAGTTGACTGAATTATTTAGATACTGATAATCTCATTTCTTCAGAGAGCTCTTGATACTTTATATCTGTACATGTGTGTACATGGATACACACAAGCACAAACAAGGACAGATTCACTGTGTGTGTGGTTGCAGTTTCAGATTCCAGCCAAGTAGCATGTACTTACTGCTGGCTTGTGGGAGTGTGGGAAAGGATAGTTGTTCATTATTTTATGTGTTACAGCTGAAATTACAGTAGGATTCTCTATCAGATGCATTCTTGTAATTGATGTTTTAATTGGCCTCCTATTCCTTCTTGGTTCAATTCTTGTTTGCTGGACCCTGATTCCTTGGCATTGTGAATCTCACTTCTTTGTTGGACTTGGTGGCTCAAATAGCACTCAGAGCTCTCCTTTTAGTATTTATTACATTTTACACATTTCAGCAAGTTTCTCAGAAGTATGATGATCTTATAAGCATATTCATGTCAGTGTGAAAAAGTATTTTGCATGGTATTTAATGTAGTAAGTTTTTAAGATCAGGAAGTGTTTAAGTTTGTCCCTGTGTAGGGTGTGGTAAATGGCACTACACAGAGCAAGGAACAGAAAATGTGGTCTTACCACTTGTTATGTAAATTTACAAAATTTGTCTGCATCTGGAAGGCTTATTTTTTCTGTTTAGCTAAAAAGAAAAGCTGCTTATAATTCCTGAGCTCTACTTACCAATATTTTACATTTCTAATGGAAAATCCTCTTATATTTGCCTTTCAAATTGAACAAACCACCTTTAAAGAGAAAAGTCAGAGTAGTCTAAACTTTGGTTGCTTAGCTTAGGAAGTGTAAGCTTTCCCTATGGCAGCAAAACCCTGTTGAGAGCTTATAATCAAATCCAGGTTCCATATCATTCTGTCCCTCTCCATTAACCAGGATCTGGCGTAAGCCCAGATTGCTTAGTTAACACTAGCTTGTAAATCTGACTAACAAGGATTCTGAGGTTGGATTCTGTTAGAATCTTTCACATGAGTTGGCTTTTTGTTAGGACTGAAAAAGTTAGAATTAAAAAGTTGGGTGATATTATTAAGCTGCTCTAATCATTATGCAGCATACCTATAGGACTAGGACTCCAAAGGATAGAAGTAGTTCATTTTAGGGTTGTCTGGGTGGCTCAGTGAGAAGGATCTGCCTTTGGCTCGGGTCGTGATCCTAGGGTCCTGGGATTGAGTCCCAAATCAAGCTCGCTCTCCACAGGGAGCCTGCTGCTCCCTCTGCCTCTCTCTCTCTCTCTCTCTCTCTCTTTGTCTCTGTCTCTCTCTTTCTCTCTTTGGTGCATTTTAGAGTCACATCTCTTTCTCCTACATGAGATATGTATCAATACTTAAACAACCAAGAATTGAAAAAAAATCCTCCATTTCAGCTGCTCATGTGTAGACCTATACTCTTAGAGCGTCCTGCCATTTCTCTTGTTTTCAGGATACTTTTTTTAGCTTCTGACTGTGTGTTCTGCTGTGACTCAGTGTTGGTGAATAGTGTAAGAAGTGCCCCAGTAAGAATATTGGTGCTTTTTACAGCACACTGTATCACAGCAGTAAAAAATAAATAAATAAATAAATGAATGAATTGTAAGGGCTTCACTTAGAAGTTAAAAAGATTGCAAGAGATTGCAAGAGAAATGAAGAGTTGACAGTATGATCATCTTTCCATGCTCACTAGCACCCTCCTGTGCTCTCTCCTAGCTGTCTGCTCTCTGCAAGCACTTAGACAACCTATGGGAAGAACACCGTGGCAACGTGGTCCTGTTTGCTTGGATGCAATTTCTTAAGGAAGAGACTTTAGCATACCTGAATATTGTCTCTCCTTTTGAGCTCAAGATGGGTTCTCAGAAAAAGGTGCAGAGAAGGACGGCTCAACCCTCTCCCAACACAGAGCTAGATTTTGGAGGAGCTGCTGGATCGGATGCAGATCAAGAGGAGGTTGTGGATGAGAGAGCTGTACAGGATGTGGAATCGTTGTCAAGTCTGATTCAAGAAATCTTGGACTTTGATCAAGCTCAGCAGATAAAATGCTTTAACAGTAAATTGTTCATGTGCAATATCTGTTTTTGTGAGAAGCTGGGCAGTGAATGCATGTACTTCTTGGAGTGCAGACATGTGTACTGTAAAGCCTGTCTAAAGGACTACTTTGAAATCCAGATCAGAGATGGCCAAGTTCAGTGCCTCAACTGCCCAGAACCCAAGTGCCCTTCAGTGGCCACCCCTGGTCAGGTAATCCTCTACTCTGCTGATAGCTGCCTCCTGATTCTCTTTCATAAAGGGAGGCATCTTCTCAGCAATTTCCTTGATGGGGCTCATCAGGGTAGGGTGAGGCCTTGAAGCCTGCCCACCCGCAGGTAGTTTCAATATGTCCATCAAGAATGCCTTGGTCTTCCTCAATGGTTGAAGCAAATGTAAATACTTCCTTTGCCGGCCTGGGCATGAGCAGTTCTTGGCAGGGATGAGTGTCAGAAAAATTACTGTAAAGTGTTCTGTTGAGTTACTTGCTTATCTGCTGGATTCCATCAACCCTGGAGAATCAGTAACTGCCTTTATGTGAGGTTGGGATCTGAATGGTTAACAGAATCAGGGACAGCGTATTTAGTTTGACTTTTCCAGTCAACTTTATTAAGCCCATTAAATGTACCCATTTAAAGTGGACAGTTTGCTTAGCTTTGACACATATGTAGGCCCATGTAGCCACCATCTCAATCAAGGTATAGTCTCAGCCACATTTGGTTTGTTTTTGAAGTGAGACAGTTTTAGTTCATGTGCATCTAGTTAGCACCAACATTTTAAGGATCTCCTCAGAATCAGAACTGGCTGGGAAATCATCACATTTATGTGCTTTATATTCCCTCCAGGTCAAAGAGCTAGTGGATACAGAGTTATTTGCCCGTTATGACCGCCTTCTCCTCCAGTCCACCTTGGACCTGATGGCAGATGTGGTGTACTGTCCGCGACCGTGCTGCCAGTTGCCTGTAATGCAGGAGCCTGGCTGCACCATGGGCATCTGCTCCAGTTGCAATTTTGCTTTCTGTACCTTGTGCAGATTGACTTACCATGGGGTCTCTCCATGTAAGGTAACTGCAGGTAAGTTGTAACTATGTGAACTCGATCCTCCTAGCCTCTACACACCACCACTCCTCCCACCCTCTGCCCCAAGAGAAAACTTTAACATTTTAATCCTCCAGTTTGAAAGTGTTCATTCAGCAGATTTTTTTTTAAATTTTTTCTCCTGTTTTCTTTTCTTTTTTTTAAAGGTTTTATTTATGTATTCATGAGAGACAGAGAGAGAGAGAGAGGCAGAGACACAGGCAGAGGGAGAAGCAGGCTCCATGCAGGGAGCCCGATGTGGGACTCGATCCCGGGGCTCCAGGATCATGCCCTGGGCTGAAGGCAGGCACCAAACCGCTGAGCCACCCAGGGATCCCCTCAGCAGATATTTTTGTTTCAGTTATTGTCCTAGGCTCTGGAGATACCCTCATGGAATTTATATTTTAATGGCAGAGACAGGCAAACAAAATAAAAAGAATATTAGATGGTTGTAAGTGCTGTGGAGGAAAAAAATAATAAACCAGGGACAGGATATGAAATGTTCTGAGGGGGAAGTGGTTTGGGATTTTACTTAGGGGAAAAAAGGGAAGACTTCAGTGGCAAAGTGGTTTGAATAAAAGGCTTGAAGGAACCAAGGAAACAAGCCATGCAGATAGCCAGGGGGAACATGCCAGAAAAGGAATGGCAAGCTAATTTCTGTCTATGAACATGGAATAATGTAGCTTCTAGTTAACAAATCAGACTGTCTTAGCTGCTACTCTTTTTTCATGGCACCTATGTCTGATCAGTCATCAAGTTCTTTATCATTGAGCCCAGGGAAGCCGCAGACTGTTCATCAACACTTAGCGCTTCAGAAAGCCACCATTTATTGAAGCGGGTACAGGAGGTGCAACTATTTGCTAATTCTGATCTAATAAATAAGGGCTGAGAAATCAGGCCTCAGACCTCAGTTTAACTAGATTTGATGGGTTAGTTTTTTTCAGGCTAGCAGGGGTAATGATAATAGCTATTTCATAGGGTTATTTGAAGGATCAAATAAACTATCATAGTGCTACTTGAAGCTCGTATTTTTACACTAGTCTGTGATAAAAGAAATTGAGAGTGAGAGCTAGAAAGTTACAGTGATTTCACAAAATAATTTTATGTCAGATCTAATAAAAATGTAAGCTTTGTTTCTTGTTTTTAAAATAATTTTTCTAATAATTCATTTGATTATATTTTGCAAAAGTTTTGGTCCCTGACAGACAGGAGGAATAGGTGGCGGCAGGTGTGTGTGTGTGTGTGTGTGTGCGCGCGCGCGCAGAAAACTGGTTCTTCACCATAGACAGTTTGAGAACTGGGCTGATCCATTTAAAATGCAAAATGTTAACCATTAATGCCATTATTACTATAGTTACTACAGCAGAGTGTTATTATCTCCCAAGAAAGTAACCCTAAGAGGAGAATGACTGGATTCTTTTTTTTTTTTTTTAATTTTTTTAAATTATTTATTTATGATAGTCACACACACACACACAGAGAGAGGAAGAGACACAGGCAGAGGGAGAAGCAGGCTCCATGCACCAGGAACCCGATGTGGGATTCGATCCTGGGTCTCCAGGATCGTGCCCTAGGCCAAAGGCAGGCGCCAAACCGCTGCGCCACCCAGGGATCCCAATGACTGGATTCTTCCAGTTGCCTAGAGCAGAGTCTTGTAGTGGATATGGGCAGATGGGATGGAGGATTCACCAGAGTATAATATAAGCCTTTGCTTTAGACTTCTATAACCTTATCATTGAGGGGCTGAAGTACATTTTAGGTGTTTCATAGCATTTGTGGAAGAAGTTAGAGAGGCTTGGGGACTTTAACAAAATTAAGAATTCCTTTCTTGGGATGCCTGGGTGGCTCAGTGGTTGAGCATCTGCCTTTGGCTCAGGTCGTGATCCCAGGATCCAGGATTAAGTCCCACATCGGACTCCCTGTGAGGAGCCTGCTTCTCCCTTTGCCTGTTTCTCTGCCTCTCTCTCATGAGTAAATACTCATGTCCCTCATGAGTAAATAAATAAAATCTTAAAAAAAAAAAGAATGTCTTTCTGTATCTATCTGTATCTGTAGATCTAACCATAATTGATATTATTCTATAAAACACATGAAATACAATTATTTTGAGAACATTAGAACAGTAATCTTTGAAATTCTCAAGAAATCTGGGAACACAAAAATGCTTTGATTTTTTTTTTTTTTTTTAGAAGGATAAAAATGACAAGATAAAAAGGTACGTGTCTGCTACATCTAAGTAGAGGTGATGGAGCCATGGAGTGCACAGAGAAAAAAATCTTCCCCCCAAAGATCAACTACATAAAAAGGGAGTCAGACTAGTAAATTAATAAAATAATTAGAACACCTGGAGAGAGCTCTTCAATTAATCTTGTTGAAAAATTAAGGTGATAGAATGTGAACAAAAGTTTTTGCTATAAGTAAAGCCCTTGAGAATGGCTGCCTGTTACAGCTGAGTTAAGTGATAGAACAGTGCAGTGAAATTGAAAAATATCAGCGGAAAGGTTGAAAGGAGGAACTTTACAGTACCTGTGGGTGGTAAATTTCAGTCACTGACTTTTTTTAATCTACAGAATTGAATAGTCTTTGCTCTTAAGCCAAAGATGCTTTGTTTATTTGGTAGGCCTTGTTACTGTCAAGTGTGAATGATGCTGACTTTGTGGAAAATCAGTGTGTGTTTCAACCTGTGACTTCTAGCTAAGTCAGTCTTTAACTGTATGCTACTAGTTGCTCAAACATGTCAACATTAATAAGTCAGACTCAACAAAAAAAGATGACCTCTTATTCTAATGCCTTGAGCAAGTCCCACTTCTCTAGCTAGAGCATTCTTTTATATTCTTTGTCATTTGTACATGTAATATTTTTACCTACTTAGTTCTAACCTAAATATGCCTTTTTCTGGATTCTGTAATGAGTATTTTAATTGAGTTGTAGCCAGCTCATAAGTTTTTAATAACTAAATATTGTCATTAATTGGTTCTTTCACATGTGGTTGTTCCCTTGGACATTTAATTTGTTTGCCATTGTTATGTGCATCTCCATGCATATAACTTTACTTTAGATTATTTCCTTGTGATTAAACTTCCAGTAATAGCATTATTGAATAATCAAAGGTTATGACCATTTTTTAATGGTTTTTAGTCAGCTTTGGAAAGTTGTATAAAAGTTAATTTTCCATTTCACTTTCCAGAGAAATTAATGGACTTACGAAATGAGTACCTGCAAGCAGATGAGGCCAATAAAAGATTTTTGGAACAGAGGTATGGTAAGAGGGTGATTCAGAAGGCACTGGAAGAGATGGAAAGTAAGGAATGGCTAGAAAAGAACTCAAAGAGCTGCCCATGTTGTGGGACTCCCATAGAGGTAAAGGTTTGGGCTAGATTTGGCAGACAGACTTACAAACTTGTTACGATTGCCTTAAGCCTATTAATTTTATGACTAAGAAAACACATTTATTAAACCTTCTTACTTATAAAATGCAAATTCACTACCAAATATTGTTATTGATCCTAAATGTATGTAGACTTACCTTTTTAAATGCTTTCATAGAGTGAAAATTGTCCTCACATTGTATTCACATCAAATTTGAATATGTTATGGGGAGCCCTAGTGGAGCTACAATGAACTCTTAACTCATCTACATGATAAAAAAAAAAAATCAAGCTTGACTTCTTAGAACTATTTATCCTGGAAATTAACACACCTGCTTATTAAGAAGTATACACTTAGGAAATGAAGACGTTTTCCTGTTAGTCTGAGCCAAAATAGACACTTAATTAAATCTGTTGCTTCTTGACAAAATCGTAATATGTTTTAAAATCAGAATATAACTTGGCATTTGATGCTCCTGTTTTAATCCCTTGTATCCTAACTGAACCAAGTGGTGATTCCCCAGTTACTTTGTTAAGGAAACTGACATTGTGTTTAACCACTTTAGACATGTCTTGGCACGTTACAGTGGAGGACTTGGTACCAAATGTTTACTTAGATTTATGTAAAAAGTTTAAAGTCACACATATTAAACCCAAACATTTTTTTAACCCAAACATTTTTAATATTAATTTACAAGTTCAGCTAATATTATACATACTTGGTTTGAATCTACTATTCATCGAAAAGCTTTTGTGAAGTATCTAGTTGTAGGTACACCTGCTAAATATTTTCTGTATTTTACTTGTAAAGCAACAGAGTAAGCATGTAATAGTCCCTGCATGAGGAAAAAGGAGAAGACTGGGAGACCATTGTACTCAATCTTTTTAGCATGTGCTTTTCTCTTTTGTTTTTATAGCCTTGATATTTTTCTCTATCTTTCCCACCAGAAATTAGATGGATGTAACAAGATGACATGTACTGGCTGTATGCAGTATTTCTGCTGGATTTGCATGGGTTCTCTCTCTAGAGCAAACCCTTACAAACATTTCACTGATCCTGCTTCCCCGTGTTTTAATCGGTATGTATACACAGTCCATTCCCCTTGTCTCAACAGCAGTTTTTGGTACTTCATTTGTGGACCACTTTGCTTAGAGAATTCTCTTACATATTTTTTTTCATGTATGTGGACTTTCTGTTTTCTTGAAAATGAGTTATGATGAAAAATATGCTGTCTGGAAATTTTATTTTTTATCCGCCTCAACTTTTTATAGTGAAACTGTTCAAACATACAGAAGAGGTGAAAGTTGAAAGAGTATAATTAGTAGGATACCATCTATGAAGATGAACAAGTGATAATAAAATTCTTCTATATAACAAGAATATTTAAAGAAATTTAATGATGATGGCATATTTTAATGTAATAAACATATTTAGGGATGCCTGGGTGGCTCAGTGGTTGAGCGTCTGTCTGCCTTTGGCTCAGTTGGGTGATCCCGGAGTCCCAGGATCGAGTCCTACATCAGGGTCCCCTTGGAGAGTCTGCTTTTCCCTCCACCTATGTCTCTGCCTCTCTCTCTGTGTTCTCATGAATAAATAAACCATATTGAAAACTTCCCACTTATCCCTGAAAGTATCTTTTAAAGCTGTTTTACTGAACCAGGATATAATCAGGTTCAAACATTTTACTTGGTTCTGTCTCTTCAGTCTCTTACTATAGAAGAGTTTTGCCCACCTTTTTTCCTCTATGTTAAGGAAAAACATGTTTCCTCTATGTTGACACTTTAGAGAGTCCAGGCCACTTGTCCTGTGGAGAACAGCTTGCTTTCTAGAGTTTTATTTCTCCCTGTTGTCTTTTTGTTAGTTTCTCTGTCCTTAGTTTCTCTGTCCTATTTCCTATAAATTGGGAGTTAGATCTAGACTGAGTTTGAATAGATTTAGAGTCACATTTTTGACAAGAATACATGAGGGTTGATGTGTACTTCTTATTGATGACATTAGGTCCATAATGTCAGGCTGTCCCAGGTTAGTATGCTGCTCAGTTCTATTTGCTACATTGTAAATGTAAGTTTTCTTTTTCTGTTATTAGTAAGTAATCTCTGGGGTGGTTTCTTGGCACAGTGTGAATATCCTGTTTTTCAACAGCTCTGATTTCAACATCAGCTGATGATTTTTGTTAAAAGACATCTGTATAGTATCTACAATCATTGATGTTACTAAGTTATAAGAGAAATTGAAGAAATAGGATCTTTCCATGAACCATTATAAATCTAGTGTTGAAATTGCATAAATTTCATTTTATTTTTTTAAATTGCGTAAATTTTAGGTAACATGGGGAAGGAAAATAAATTGGCAGCTATAAAACATACTGTTGGAGAGTGCAAGGACAATGAAACAGAGTATAGTGACTCACATGTAATAGAGTTATGGTGGTTTGAAAGAATTCCCCTTTCTAGATTGCCTGACTCCCCAATCCTGGCTTAATTCCATCTACTGTATGTGTATACATTGAGTATCAATTTTTTGATACCCATTTTCCATTATTGTTAATTCTTGGCCCTAGAGAATTTGTTTGGATCTGAAAAGGGCTATTCTTGGAAACTTTAAGACAGCTTATTCAGGGGCGCTTGGATGGCTCAGATGGTTAAGCATCTACCTTCAGCTCAGGTCACGATCTCTGGGTTCTAGCATCAAGCCCCATGTTGGGCTCCCTGCTCAGTGGAGAGCCTGCTTCTCTCTCTTCCTCTGCCTGGTGGTCCCCCTGCTTGTGCGCTTGCTCTCTGTCTCGCTCTCTCTCAAATAAAATAAACTAAAAAAAAAAAAAAAAAAAAAGCTTGTTCAAAGGGAGCCATATTTCAGCCCTCCTTGGTGTAGTGATTAAAGGAAAGGAAAAGATGGGGATCCCTGGGTGGCTCGGTGGCTTGGCACCTGCCTTTAGCCCGGAGCGTGATCCTGGGGTCCTGGGATCGGGTCCCGCGTTGGGCTCCCTGTGTGGGGCCTGCTTCTCCCTCTGCCTGTGTCTCTGCCTCTCTCTCTCTGTGTGCATCTGTCATGAATAAATAAATAAAATCTTAAAAAATAAATAATAAATAAATAAATAAATAAATAAATAAATAAATAAATAAATAAAGGAAAGGAAAAGATACACGTTATCAGAAGAATGCAGAAAGTAATTTTGAGAAAAGGAAAGAGATGATACTAAGTTTTTCCCAAGTGCCTATAAATGTACCTTATTTTATGCTTCTAGGTTGTTCCATGCTGTGGATGTTAATGGAGATATTTGGGAAGATGAGATTGAAGACTAGTTAACTCCTACTGCTCAAGATAAGGAAGTGGAATGGTTTGCCCTAATCTTTTGTCGAGTACAGAAAATAACTGCAGGATATTTAGGGTACCGTTAATTCACTCTTCCTTTGTAGAAGATGTGGAAGAACAAGGTTTATATTTTCGTGTGGTACTACTGATTAAGGCACATTCAAATGGTTTTCATTGTAACATAGAGAAAATTATAAGCCAAAGGTTCAGAAAATGAAAACTAGAGAATATTAAATACTACAGTGTGCCCAAAGCTCTGAATAGTTTAAATATTTATTTTCTTCCCCAAGCTTTAGGTAAGGAGAGGAGTCAAGAGTTAAAGACCTTTTTACCTGAAAACATCCCTCTAAGACATGTGGGAGTCCCCTCAGTATTACTCCTTAAAACTGGGGTAGAAAGAAGCCTTATTAAAATTGTACTGAGAGCCTGATCTCATTAACTCCATGTTACATTCCTTTCAACCTAACTCTGCCAAGTTAGTATTCTTTGGAGGAAGCCCTTTATTCTGTAACTGATTGGATGGCCTAATGTCATTTTGATCTACTGCTTTTCAGAATAGAAATTTATAGATAATTTGAAAAATATTTTTAATGCCACAAACACTGTGGGTCACCTGGTATTTATTAGTGGTGTGCAGTCCACTGGTTTTGAGCCAAGTCTAGAATTTCATGACACTGGCCCATAAGAATTGGAGTCCCATTCAACTCTTTGGGGCTGTAGAGCCTAGATGCAAGATGACTTGTCTTTGCTACCTTTTTGTTCTACATTCTCTCCCTTTCCTCTTACCCTACCTTCCATCAGTGAGGACAATTTTAATATTAACTCCAGCAGCTCATATTTTTATTTCTGCTGAAGTAAGAGAAAGCCTAATATATTCCCAAGCTGAACAAGCTGTACTTTCTTTAATTACCTCCATTTTGAACTCCACACCATTGTAGTTCCAGCCTTCATTTTCTGAATTCTTTTTAAAGGTCTTTTCTAATGAGCTATGGAAATTTGGCTTCGTACCCCTTTTTGTAACAGCACTGTTTTGGGGGATAATTTTGGCTTAATTCCTAGATCCCTGTTTCTGGGTTTTGATGGCTTTTTGAAAAATTGTCTTTCCTTATGGTTTGGTGAATGGCTTGGTAGCAAAATAAGATTTTTTGAAAAAGAGGACAAGAGGGATACAGCTGCAGCTGTGAACAGTTCTTTTTACCCAAATTGTCATTGAAAATTGGGGAATCACTTTTCACCATTTTATGCGTGTGTATCCAGAGTCAGCAGGGACTATTTCTGGATTGTCAATGAGGCTGCTTAATCTTAAAAATAAAAATAATTTAAAAATTGTCTTATACTTAGAGCAGAGTTTCTGCTACTCTGTCGCCAAGGCATCTGATCACATTTTTAAAAACAATATGGCATGTAACACGTATTCTTAAAGTGAGCAGAAAAAAGTCATGGAATAGCATTTCTTCTCTTAACCAGACTCATGACTGAACCTAGCTTTTAGTGCCTCTATTTTGTTTGGACCATATGGCTCATGAGCTTTCATTTTGCACATTTTATATAAGAACTAAAGAATAAGTTGAATAAGAAATGGAAATTAAAATAGTTATACACTATACACCTAAGAAGAGTGGCTCTGTGATTGAATAGGAATTCAGTTGAAAATTTTTTTTTAGTAGCAGCCACTCAGAAGTTCCCCAGTTCATGGACTAGTTGGTATTTGCTAGAGGTTATTTTATTATTTTAGGCTTTTGCACATTATGTTGATGACATAGTGGAAATAAGAAAGCTTCATAATGAAGGTTTGCGAAAGAAATGGGATATTTCTCTTTCTTGATGATTTTTAAAAACACAAGTGGTTAGTCTCAGACTTGTTTGTTCATCTGAATGTTTCATCCTTTTTCCTTAATTTCATCCTCTTTCCTGCAATTTTAACAAAGACAATAGGGCTTGGAAGTCTTAATTTTGAGACATGAGTTATGCAGTAATTTTAAGATGGCATAGTTTTGGCTAGAGCACTTTTGTCTCTGAGTAAAATGAAAAATTGGCATAACTCCCTGAATGCCCTATGAAATGCCTGGGTTTGTGGAAGGTTGGTATATCAAGAAACTATATAATAGAACAAAGAGTTTTATACCTAGTTTAATTTCGTGAAGGCTCCCCCCCTTTCTTTTTTTTTTTACAATTGGGCCAGGATTTATCCTACATTGACATGAACCTCATGTGTTCTCTTGATGAAAGCAAGAGAGCCAAGGATTCCTGTGTTATAGCAGTTTGTAACTGCCAGTTCATCATGCTGAAAATTGTAGTTTGAAAAGGCTACGTCTTTTGATTTAAATAAAAGGTTTGAGTCTAGAACAGATAGTTGAAAATAAGTTACTAAATAACTTTTAAAGTCAAACTAGAACTTTTGTGACTTTTAAAGCTTGCGATTGAATTGACTTAAGAGCTCACTTTTGTCCACTGAATTGTGCATCTTGTTTATTTTTTTAAGTAAACAGTTTTAGAAGTTTCAGATTTACAGGAAAATTGCAGAGATAGTACAGTGTTCCCATATGTTCCATGTTTCCCCTATTACTTGACATCTTACATTAGAATAGTAAATTTGTCACAATAATGAACAAGTATTGATACATACATTATCAGCAAGAAAAGTCCACACTTAATTCATATTTTCTTTGTTTTTTTCCTGTTGACCTTGAGCTATTCCTGGGTCCTTTCCAGAATACCGCACATTACATTTAGTTATCATGTCTTCTTAGGCTCCTTTTGGCTGGCCCAGTTGTACCATCCATTTTTATTGTTAGTATTATTTAAACATCATTTAGATCTTGATGTACCTGGATTGGTCAGGAGCTGAAAACCTTTTATGGAAGACTGATGACCTAATCCTATCAGGCTCAGCAAATTATTGAATGTATGGTGTTTTGTTTGTTTTGTTTTTTTATTTATGTTTGTAGTTTTAAATCAGTTATTGCTCAGGACACTTCACTGGCTTTGTATGGAGTTTTTAGTCCATATACTCTTACAGTTATTTTCCTACTCAGCTTCATGAGGAAATCCTCAAACTGGATGATTTTTGTTGTTGTTTTTTAAAAGATTTAATTTTAAGCAATCCTACACCTAATGTGGGGCTTAATCTCATTACCCCAAGATCAAGAGCCACACACACTCCTGACTGAGCCAGCCAGGCACCCCTGCAAGGTCATTTTTTAGTAGTAGAGGGTTCTAGTTTACATTAGAAGTCTCTTAATATACTTAATTTTTATATATTTATTTAGGTTAAGAAAAAAGTAGAGTTAATTAGATGGGATAATCATAACACCATTCATGTGGCTGCCTGCTTTGAAAGGAAATTTTGGAAATCCCAAGTATTAACTTTGTCATAAGCGTGACCAGCAGGTGGCAGCAGTTCCCATGTTATAAAAATGCAGTAAGATGGTATTTTATTTTGTTACAGAAACAGGTTTATTTTGGGGATTTTAATTTTCCTTCTTGTGTTTCATCATAGTCTGCTATAAGCACTGGTAGGTAGAATGGCATCTAATGATATTAGCAAGGCAGGAACAGAAGTATTGTCAAAAACTGTAAGGCCACTTAAAACTATAGTTGACGTTCAATTGTTACATGGGAAGTGTCGCTCCTGATAGTAACACTTGTCTCCATCCACTGAAGTAAACAAATTAAGTTATATCTGATGCATGCCCCTAAGTATGACAGATGAGTCATTATACTGTGATATCTTCAGATACTGGGTAAAAATAGCCAAATCTGCTCTCTGAACTTTGGCTCAATAAAAAAATCGGCCAGCAAAACGAACTGAGGCTTTGTGGTCAGAGAGCTGGCTTTGAGGATGTTCTGACCAATGTTAATGATAATTACCAACTTTTAGCATTCACAGTCTAGTCTTTGCATAATTACTCAGATCTCCTAAAGATTTACCACTCAAAGGTACTTTGGAGAGGATTGTGCACATTGAAAACACAGTGAGATTCTGATGCCAAAGTTATAAATACAAAATCAGTATAGTTACTGAATTTCCTTGCTTGGATCTTTTTTTTCCTTTCCCTTCATTGAATCAAACAAACTAAACTAATATCGATGTAATGTCAATGCATAGAAATTCAAAAGATGGTGTCTTACTGTCATTCCTGTTTTTTTTTTTCTTTTTGTCATTCCTGTTCTATTTCTTGCAGTCTGCTGTATTTCCTGGTATTCATTCACTTATTTAACATATTTCTTGCATACCTCATGATGGGCCTTACTGTTTTTCTGGGTCCTGAGAATGTAGCAGTTAATAAAACAGACATCTTTTTCCTTATGCAACTTAAATTCTGGTGGAAGGAGACAGACATTGAGGAAACAAGATGGGTTATCAGAAGTCAAGTGCTATGGAGAGAAGTTAGGGGAGGCAGAGTGTGATGATGGAATTTTAAAGAGTGTAGAAGACTTCATCAAGATAGCAGTAGTACAAAGGCTGAGCAGTATGGGAGTGTACCATGTGAACACCTGGGAGAAGAGAGTCCAGATAGAGCAGCAAGGGCCAGCGTCCTTGGAGTGAGAGCATGTTAGAGGGCTCCAAGAAGAGCATGGGAGCCAGTGAGAGCTAAAGTGGACTGAGGAAGGGAGAGTAGTGAGAGGTTGGACAGTGAAGGCAGACTGCTTGACCTTTGGATTCTACTCTGAGATAGAAGCCTTTGAAGGGCATTGAGCAGAAGTGTGATAGGGTCTTAGATTTTAGGAGAGCATGTGAGCAAAGGTAGAAACAGACCAGTTAGGAGACTACTCTAGTAACTCAGGTGACAAGTGGAGTGCCAGCACTCTGTGCCAGCACTTGGAATCCTGATGAGTGGTCAGATTTTGTACTTAACCTTGAAGATAAAACTTCAAGGATTTACTAATAGATTGCATGTATAATATGAGAAAGTGAGGCATCAGAGTTGATTTCTAGCTCTTTTTGTCTCAGTAATTGAGACAGGAAAAGCTATAGATGGCAGAGATTTGCTGGTGAAGATCAGAAATGTATTTGTGGATAGAGGAGTTTGAGGTGCCTGGCAGTGATCTCAGTGGAGATGTTGGGTAGGCAGTTGGGTGTTGTAGTCTGGAATTCAATGGCGTCTTGGCCTGAAGATGGAAACATGGGAGTCAATGTATAGATGGAATGTGATGCCATGAGACTGGATGAAATTACTAAGAGAGTGAGTTATATGGGAAGAAGAGGTCCAAAGACTGAGTCTTGGAGCCCTCCAAATGCCAAGAGTTCAGGGTGATGTGAAGGACCCAACAGAAGAGACAGCAAGTGACCAGTAAGGTCAGAAAAATCAGTGTGTGATGTCCTGGAAGGCACGTCAAGTTTGAAGGAAGGAGTGGTCAGCTGTCAGGTAGTGCAAATAGGTCAAGAGATAGGAGCTCAAAGCATTGACTTAGTGATCATTGTGGCCATTGGTGACTTTGACAAGTGTCAAAGTGACAAGGGAGGTGAAAATCTAGAATATATTTGAGAAAGAATGGGGTATCCTCACAATAAGAAAAAATGCTGAACAAAATCAGGTTTTCTTCAATCCATCAAAGAAAAGAGGTCACAGGGCGAGCCACCACAAAAACTAGAGAAAAAAATGCAGAAAATACAGATCTGTTCACCTAAAGGAGAAGCTGCTAGAGCCAATTATCAGGATTGAAGTGAATTACTGGGGGCTGAGTGTGGACTTGCTTGAGAGTTTAAAACTCCTAGGAGTTACTCTATGTGGTCTCCCACACTGGTGGGATTTATCTCCAGGAGCTTCCCCACATTCTCAATGTAAAGATGGCAGAAAAATCCCCTTCTGCAAGGTGGAGGGGGAAAGTAGCCATTTTGAAATACACCCCGAATTTTCTGTTTCCATGGCAGAAGGCTGCCCTCAAGCAGAACTGCTTTGCTAGAGTCTTCTCTAAGAAGGGCACTTGGATGGCTTAAGCCCCCCTTAGCCTTCCTGTCTCATATAAGAAAAAAAAAAAAAGGGCTAAGGCACTTCTGAAGCTCTTGGCCCAGGGACTCTAGCTCACTAAAAAAGACAAAACAGATATAAGATATAGAATAATTCTCCCTAATACCCTACCATCAGTAGAGCTCTAGTATTATAACATGGATTACAGCTTTTAAGAAAACTGCAAGACACAGACTCTATTTCAAGGAGTTTCTAGGGAAACCCAAACACAGAAAGGGAAGACAAAAACAAGGACACAGCAGACATTGCTAGTCATGTAAACATAAGACTTCACGCCCAAGGCCCATTGACTTCAGTTCCTGTTACCCAATATATATCATGTCCAGCTTCCATTCTTGTATAAAAAGTATACAAGGATGCTAAGTAGCAAGAAACAAAGTCCAATGAAACAAAGCAAGCATCAGAACTAGACTCAGATACAGCAGAGATTGTACTGTTATATCAGACTGGGAATTCACAGTAACAAGGATTAGAGGTACCTGGGTGGCTCAGTCGGTTGGGCTCAGGTCATGATCCCAGGGTCCTGGGTTAGAGCTCCGCATTGGGCTCCCTGCTCAGTGGCAAGTTTGTTTCTATCTCTGCCCCTCCCCTCTGCTCATGCTCTTTCTCTGGTGCTCTCTCTCAAATAATCTTTTTTAAAAAATAAAATAATGATTAATATGCTGAAATCTCTGATGGAAAAAGTGGACAACATACAAGAACAGTTGAGTAATTATGCAAAAGATGGAAACTCGAAGAATCAAAAAGAAATACTAAAAACAACAGAAACAAATGCCTTTGAGGGGCCCATCAGTAGTCTCAAAACCCCTAAGGAAAGACTTGGTAAGCTTGGAAATATATATGTCAAGAGAAATGTTTCACACTGAAATTTGAAGAGAAAAAAGGAATAATTTTTTTTAAAGGTATAGAATATCCAACAATCCTTAGATAGTTACAAAGGTGTAACATATGCATAATGGGAATACCAGAAGAGAGGCAGGAGGAGACAAGAGAGCCCAAAAGGGGTAACTTCCAAAAGTTTTGCAGTAAAGGGAATCAGAGACTGAGGCTAATACAGGAGGAGAAATGGGGTAAAGAGTTTTGTTTATAGGGGTGCCTGGGTGGCTCCATCTGTTAAGCATCCTGATTCTTGATTTCAGCTTGGGTCACAATCTCAGGGTTGCAAGATGGGGTGAGCCTGTGTCAGGCTCTGCACTGGGCATGGAGCCTGCCTAAGATTCTCTCTTTCTCTCCTGACCCTCCTCAACCCCACCCCACCCCACCCTCGTGCAGACTCACTCTCTTAAAAAAAAAAAAAATGTTTTTAAAGACTGTTTTATATGCCGATAGGAGTGATCCAGGAAAGCAGGACATTTTGATGCTGCAGGGGAGTGGCGGTCTTGCTGGAACAATCCCTCAAGGAGGCAAGAGAAATGAGATCTAGTATACAAGTGGAGGAACTAGACAAGGAGCAAATAATAGGAAGAAAGCAAAGTAGGAAAGCAAGGCTCTCTGGTGGATATGTGTGATGGTTGTGGAAGTTCTTTCCTGCTTGCTCTGATTTTCAAGGTCATAGATGAGAGAAAAGCTGGCGGCAGAAGCAGTGGAGGTTTGAGGCTTTGTGAATTAGTCTTAGGACACTGAACAAACGAGGAATACAATGTGGTTGCCATCTGGTGTTAAGGCCTCCCTTAAAGCTCAAAATACTATGTTCTATTTATCATTATTATATAACTCAGTAGTCTGTCAAAATATAATTTGTTAGAAATGTATACTTGCTTCACTAGCATCTCATCACAGTAAGGATTTGGGTTCCCAGGAATGAGGCATCAAATTAAGTTAGATCTCCTTAGTATGTCAACTGGGTAATCTCTTATCAGATAATATGCTGTTACTTCCCCAGGTTCTTGTGTATGTTCACTAGTATTGTGGGGAACTATTCAGGATTATAGTTGAACAAATATAACAGCTGCCTTCTGGATATCAAAGCACTGAGAGGGATGGGATAGAGCAATATTTAAGTCGGCCTTCATAGAGCTACATTTAGTGGGAAACAAAATACACAGTAGGTAGTGAAAGAGCTGGGTCAGAGAGTAGGGACTGTGGATTGCTACTTCATACTGAAGGGTCAGGGGAGATCGCTGATAAATCACACTGAAGCAGAGACCCAAAGGAAGGAAGGGAGTAAGACTTTGATATATCTGGGGGAAATAGTGGGCTAAGATCTTATATCTCAAAGTACTTTCTAAACGGATTAAATAGAAGAGGCCACACCCCATTTATGTCAACATGCTGCTGCTTTTTATGAAATGCAATAAAACGTTAAACACATTCACTCCTCTCTTCCTGAAATACGGTACCATTTATACTCATCAGTATCGTTTCGTTTTCCTCTTTGAGTATCAGATTTGGGGTTTCACAGATTCAACTTGTTCCATTCAGCTGTATTTAAAATTTTCTTACTGATCAAATTGTCGCAACCTGAGCAGCAGAAGCCCCATTAAACTGGCTGTTTTGACCTTTCATTACTACCCCAAGCCTTTTTTAAAGCACCCTTATTTTTTGGCAGCAAGATATTCCAGGCTCACTGTGATCCCCACCCCAAAATGTAATTACCTCTTTTCCAAGGAGCCAAGAGTACCATCAGAGACCCAGTCTGGCTCAGGAATATATACATCCCACTTGCTCTGCATAAGAACCGGTTATAGCGGGATGACATTGCTACTGTTGGACCATCAGAGAAAACAGGCCTGGGAAAGAGATCTTTTTAAGATCCCAAGTTCACACAGCCATGTCCAGCTTAGCTGTTGTGACTAAATTTTTTCATTCTAATTTTTTTCTAGAACATTTTAAAATGTATTTATTTAAAATGTAGTCCCTCCTTCACCAGATAAACAAAATGCAGTATATCCGTACCACAGAATAGTTTTGCAATAAAAAGGGAATACTGATATGCATTAAATGGATTAACCTCAAAAACATTCTGCTTAGTGAAAGAAGCCACACCCACAAAATGCCATGCCATAGGATTCCACTGATGCAAAATATCCAGAAAAGGTAAATTGTAGAGACAAAGCAGATCTCTGGTCACCTGGGCGCAGTAGGAGTAAGGAGCTCTTGGGGATAGAAATGGATGTGATAGGAAATTGCAAGCTCCAAAGACAATACAAATCAGTTTATATTTAAAATAGGTGACTTTTGTGGGCATGTAAATTATATCTCAATACAACTGGTAAAAAATTAAACCCTTTTGCCAACTTCTACTTGTCCCTCAACTGGTTATATTGATCCAAGATGTTCAATTATATTTACTTTTCTAACAAAAAAAAAAAAAAAAAAACCAAAAAAACCCCACAACTAAACGTATTTTCCATATCCTGCAGTTCTCTCCTTATTCTTTTTAGAAGCTGTACCTTGTTTGGATCCCAGGTACAGCCAGAAGAACATCACAATCTATTACTCATCCGTTCAAGCTCACCATTTTATACAGGTGCTTCATTTTTATAAACGATTTTATTCTCCCCCTGGTGACTGAAGACGAGGTCAACAGTTACCATGATTGTGCCTCCCTTAAGATTTTATTTATTCATGAGAGACACAGAGGGAGAGGCAGGCTCCCCAAAGGGAGCCTGAGGCAGGACTTGATCCCAGGACCCAGGGATCACGCCCTGAGCCAAAGGCAGGTGCTCGCCCACTGAGCCACCCAGGTGCCCCTGAGTGTGCCTCCCTATAGAGCTGTTGTGAGGAGGGAGTGTGAAGCTTTGCTCACCCACTCTTCCCAAAATATGTAAACAGCAACCCAGACCACTGTCTGCCCTCTGGGGGCTGCAAGTCCACAAAGACAGATTTTATTTGAAAATACTGGATTTAATAGAAAATATCACCTTGTAAACAAGTCCACTGATCCATTAGCTTAAGACAGAATAACAGCACAATCACGTATAAAAGCTAAAGACAAAACACTGGTACCCAATACAGTACTTGAAGAGAGGCCTGAGCTAGTCTCTGAAAGATCTTTCCCAGAAAGAAAGGAAGTAGGAGCTTCAAACAGGCACAGAAACAGGAAGGGGAAGGCAACATCCGCTTCACAAAGGCTTATGAGAATCTAAAGGCAGGGCAATAAATTCATTTTGTGAACAAGAGGTGAAGGATAAAGGGACAAAGGAGTCTGTTATTTCCTGATGCTCTGGGAACATCAGACCACACCACAGGAACCTGAGTGGGTTGGAAGGGCAGGGTATTTTAAGTGGAGAAAGGCTACTATTAGGCAACTTTAGAAGCATTTGGTATGTTGTCCGGGCACTCAGCACTCAGAGAAACAGGATAACATGTTGTTCCTGTTGTGACTAAACTTAGGCCTGAGCTGCTTGCCCCGGCCCCCTTTGCTGAACACGACACTATGGCAGGATCTGTTGCCCCAGTGAGACCTCGGAACAACTACATGGGTGCCAGAGGGTCCCAGAGGGAAGGGAGTTTGATGTGGCTAGGCACCTTGAGGCTCTGAGTGTATCAGCAAAAGCCTTCTCTTCAGCCCTAGCCACCCATATCCTCCCCCAGGGAGGTGGGAGTCCTCTTGAGTTTACAGAAAGGCCAACTGTGAGAGCAGGGGGAAAAAAAAACAACTAGCTAGGGAAAGAAAGGAATCATTTTCTTGCCATGGCACTTATAACTGAACAGAAGGTTGAGACTTTGTTCCTTAACCTAGAACACTGAATTCTCAAAGGAGAGGCAGGCCCACTCAAGAGGGGCTTTCAAAGCCTCTCCAAACAGGTTCTGGCCAATATACACAGGCCCCCGTACTCCCACAATGGAGAATCAGTGTATGTAATGATAGAAATTTCTGACAGGAGTGTGTCATCTGTGAGAACTGTGCCAGAGGCAGAACAAAAGCTAAAAATCCTGATCTGTGTAGGGCAGACCTCAAAATTCCAGAGTACATTTTTCAGAGACGCTTTTTCTGATTAAAGTAAGTTAGAAAACATGTCCTCCTCCCTGTAGCTAAACTCTCATGACTAGGTTCCATGCTGCATAGCCAAGAAAAATATCCATTGATCTGGAGTAACCATACTGGATTAAAGAAACACCATTCTGTCCTCCTAAAGGCAATTTCCAGAATTTGCTCTGCCTGTCCTAAAGAGGTACTCGATGCTAGGATGGGTACAGGCTAATCACCGTATGGTTTCTCAGAAGGCTGGTTTTTCTCTGTTTCTTTCTCTTTGATACTGTACAAGGGGTCCACCAACTTGTTATGAACAAGCATTAAACCTGTGAAAAATTAAAAACAAAGGTACTTAAATGCAGGTAGAAGCAGTGTACCACGATTATGAACAACAATATCCAGCAGCTCTCAAAGTTTGTCCTAGTACTGAAAACCATCTTTTCTCTGTGACTCCAAATGATATAGATACTAAGAGTAAGAAAAGAATTTGTTATTCCCAGTGAATGCTAGAATCCACAACCCTTTTATAAATTCAATCTTTAAAGGTGTTGGCTATCAAAAGGTTAATCTCTTCACCAAAGAATAAATTCGTAATTTGTCTGCTTAGTAAATGAGGGTTTTCCCCTAAGTTTGCCTAAAGCAGTGTGTCCTTTTTAAAGTAGAAATGATCCTCGTGACAGTTTGGCGCCTTACCTAGAAGGGAGAGGCCTGTATGAGACCTGGAGAGATTAAAAAAACCCAAAAACCTGAGGTTCAATATCCCTGCCAAGAGAACACCACACAGCTGCTGGACTACTTTCATTTCATTTTCTTTGTGCCTCCTCAGAACAAACGGGCCTCCAGAAATAGACCCTTGCAGTCATGGATGGAAAAGCAATGACCGTAAGGTTTGGTTTTTATTGAAATCAAGAGTTGTCTATGAAACCAGACAGAGCAAGAAAACTAGATCCACTCCTCACCTCCGGCATACCCTAAAACCTGGCCACCTACTTCCGGACCCACCCTTCCCCTCCCCTCACCTTTGAAATACTTGACAGTTTTCACTTTCAGCTCCAGGGTGGCATCCTCATCGCACACAAACACCGTGCGGGGATGCTGCTGGAAGGCAGACACAGTCCACATGTGGCTCACTCCTTCCTCGATGGCCTTGTACAGAGCAAAGGCCTTGTGAGCACCCGTGATGAGGATCATCACCTGGGGATCAGAAAACAAGCCTGTGATGCAGGAGGATGAGCAGTGGAACCTGGAGTCCAGAGGCCTGAATTCTGGTCCAGCTACCCCAACTGGCTATAAGCACTGTGTGTTTTTAAGATATGGTTTATAAGTTGTTAGCCTGCAGCACACTGTTCCCTGCTCTGTGTGCATCACCCATTACCTGAGGCTGGGAGCATCATCAGCCCCATAATCTATGATGAGGAAATGAACAATGAACTCCAGGGGACTAAGTAGTTTAACCCGGGTCATTCTGTTTTGTTTTGTTTTTTTTTTAACCCAGGTCATTCTGACCCAGAGTCCACGCTCTAGACCACCAGGTGATGATGCCTCCTGGTAACTTTGACAACAGCTGTGAACACATAGGCCAAAGGCCCATGCCTCTGACCCAACAGTTGGGACACTGGGTCCCCAGGAGTCCTAGGCTGAGTTTTCACAAGTGCAGTCTGAAGAAGAGGGGTCCCAGTCTGCACCATCTCCAAGGGGCCGTGAAGTGACAGGGTAATGGTTATATGTGCAGCCGCTGAGGTTCAATCCCACAAAAGCTGCCCCTTAATCTGGTCACTTTCAATTCCAGGTGTTAGACTGACTAGCGGGACCTGGAATGATGCTTTATGTTCAAATAAAACAAAGACACCCGACTCCCTCAACAGTTAAAATGTCAAGAACATAAGTGCTGGAAAGTGACTGTAAAGGTACCTTGCTCTCTAGATTTCCTCTCATTGCGATGCACTTGTACCACAGGGTTGTGAACAAGATTTACTGTTTCTTAAGAGAAACCAGAGGCATGGAGAGAATGGGACTCTTTTTGTTCAGGATCCCAGAACTCCTGATTTCCAGACCCAGGTCCTTCCCCAAAGCACGATACCCTCACATGACAGGGAGGGCCCTCACACCCTAGTGTTAATAAGCCGTGAGGCCTGAAACAGCAGGGTAACCCTCCACAGTACTGAGTCAAAAGTTACGCAAGACAAAGCTGGTAACATCACTCATTTCACAAAGTTCTCTTGAAATAGCTTTTTTTTTTTTTTCTTCACTGATTTAGACCTTTGTTCACAGATTTGGGCAAAGAAACTTGAAGCTAAAATGTCAGTGACTGCTGCCCACTGACTATACCCCTGAAAGGAAGAGAAAATGCATTTAAAATTCTAGTGAAAGATAGTAAAGAAACTAGAACCACAAAAAATTAAAATGATACCAAACTTTCTAGGGAAAAACACACTAAACTAGGTTAAGACACTTAAATCACACTTCTCCACATTTAGGAGTCCCCGAGCACAAGGCCATAACCACACGTATCCCGGGTGGCAGGGGGACCTTGGTTCAAACGGTGACCTCCGCTCACTGCAGGGAGTCCCTCTCGGTACCTGGGCAAATAGGCCCATTCCTATTCAGACATTAGTGGTGCTCAGCATCTCTTGGCCTTAAACTCCAAAGGGGCACATAAGCAGAGGCCAGGGAGCCCACAGCCTCTCGTGCGGAAAGGGCTCCACTGAGAATAGAATAATAGTTACCTCCAAAGAGGAAGGAGGAACAGTCATAGGATGAGCTGGGAGTTTAGCCTTATTTATAATGCCTTCACTTCTAGTAACCGTGTACTCAGATGGTACTGGATAGTTAACAACCAGACAAGTCCAACCCCCTAAGGAAGGCCTGTGGACCCCAGTGCCCTTACCTCTCTAGCATCCATTAGAGTGCCCACACCCACCGTCAGGGCCATGGTGGGCACCTTGGTGAGGTCACCATCGAAGAACCTAGCATTGGCCAGGATGGTGTCCATGGCCAGAGTCTTCACACGGGTCCTGGACACCAGACTGGAGCCCGGCTCATTGAAGGCAATGTGTCCATCAGGCCCGATGCCTGCCCAAGAGAAACAGCCAGGACAGCCCTGTCAGCCCCAGAGATCCAAGATTTTAAGAATGGACAATCTACCCTTCCCCACCTGGGATGTGTGAAAATCTTTGAAATCACAATTCTGTTCTCATTCACCCCCGGGGAAGATACACTTCAAGCATAGGTCCTCTCCTCTCCCCACATCCTGCCCATTTTGTTTGAGGCACACACACATTTCTGTTTGTCTGGTCACCTTGCTACCACCCTCGAAAGCTAAGTAAGCAGTACTCCAAATAGCTTCTGCTTCACCAGATCATTGAAGGGTAGCTTCTTTAACTTCTTTCTCCTGCCAGTAGTCAAGGGTCCTGGTGCTGGGATTAGTCCCAGCAAATAAAAAGCAGAGACTGAACAAGGGTTGCAAAGTTTATAAAATCTTAGAACATGAGAGCTCTCAGCCTTTTCCTCCTACCCTGAAGTAAAGAAGAGTTAGGTCTAGAGCAGTAAAAGGCACTCCAACTTACTACCCCTGTAGATGACTTCAGAGGTGGCAAAAAGATGGAAACGTAAGGGGACAGCCCAGGGTAGGAAGAAAACACAGACTGACAGGGGAAACCCTAGGTTCCTGCTTTCTTTCCACTGCTCTGGCTGACCTTGGGCAAGTCACAAAACTTCTCTGGTTCAAATGGCTATCTATAAGGTGCAGGGGCTGAGTGGAATCTTCTGGAACTATATGAATCTTTGATTTTTACTGTGTAGGTTAAGTCCCATGGACTGATCCATATAAAAACTTAAGGAACAAAAACTTAGAGTCCAAATCCAAATATCTCACTTTACCAACAAGGCACTAAGGTTCAGAAAAAGGAGATGTCCAAAATCACACGGTCACTGAGTGGCCCAGTCAAGGCAGGGAGTGAGGGCTCCTACTCTGTCTTCCCTGCCTACTCAGGGTGATAAATGATTCCCACTGTTACTACTGCACTGTGAGGAAGCTGTTGGGAGACAGGCCTAGGACTTACCTTCCCCTCCACGTGTTTGCACCACCCTGGGCCTGCCCTGGACACATAGCGCAAAGTGTCACACTCACCTCCGACAAACAGCTCGATGCCCCCCGCGGCTCTGATCTTCTCTTCAAAGGCGTCACACTCAGCCTGCAGGTCAGTTGCATTCCCATCCAGAATGTGGGTGTTTTCTGGGCGGATGTCAATGTGCTTGAAGAAATGGTTCCACATGAAGGAATGGTAACTCTCCGGGTGGTCTCGAGGAAGGCCTGTGGGGCCGTGGCTACACTCAGTCATGCCAGGTGGAGCCAGAGCCCTCCTCCCAAGGAGGATGCCGAGAGGCCCTCAGACCTCCACAACAGTTGCAGGGGAATGCCGATAAGGGGGCCTTGGGCACCCATCCTCTGACCCCGAGCCACTGGCCATCGGCTGAGATGGTACCCCTGTGCCCACCCACCACCACAGGTGGCGGCAGGACTGGGCCAGAGTAACTGCACATCAAGAGCCTGAGGAATCCCCTCATCTGGATCTCCTTCACACAGGGAGTAATTGTAGACGGGAGGCCAGGGCTACTCTCTGCTTCCTGAGAAGGCCTAGCAACCTGGGCATAGGCCTTGGGCCATCTGGGAAAGGAAGCATGCATACCCCCTGCCCTGTGCCTCCCACCCCACCATTCACCCCCATATACCCCTTTCAACCTGAACCCCAACCTGAACACCAGCTGGTTGGAGAGAATTATCTCAGGGCTTCCCCAAAATGATTTCTAGCCAAGAAGAAAAAGTTTCAAGTGGATGTTTAAACATGAAGAGTGTTTAATGCCAGCCTTAAAAAGGAATGAAATTCTAACACATACTGCAACATGGACAAATGCTGGGAGGTTTTGTTGAGTGAAATACGCCAGTTGCAAAAAAGGCAAGTACTCTACGATGCCACTTAAACGAGGTATCCCGAGTAGTGAAATTCTTTTTTTTTTTTTAAGGGACTTAGTTTTTTTTTTTTTTTAAAGATTTTATTTATTTATTCATAGAGACAGAGAGAGAGGCAGAGGGAGAAGCAGGCTCCATACAGAGAGCCCGACGTGGGACTCGATCCAGGGTCTCCAGGATCACGCCCTGGGCTGCAGGCGGAGCTAAACCACTGCGCCACCCAGGCTGCCCTCGAGTAGTGAAATTCACAGAAGCAGTAAAATGCTAGTTGCTAGGGCTTGGGAAGCAGCACACGGGTAGTTGGTGTGGAATAGTAGAGAGTTTCAGTTTTCCAAGATGCAAAGAGTTCTGGAGATTGGTTGCACAACACCGTGAATATACTTAACGCTGCTGAACTCCACATGAAACAATTGCTGGATGGTAAATTTTACGTGTATCTTACCACAACTGAAAACAAAAATGTTTAAAGTGAAGCCTTACGAAATGATGGGAGAGGGGGGCAGGGAGACAGAAGACCAAGGTATAGCTTCCCAGCATCGGAAGGGCCACCAGTCTCTGCTCCTCTCCCAGTGTGCCCAGCAGGGAGGGGAGCTAGAGGATGACACGGAAAGACCAGACACAGACACTGGGGAACACACCCAGCCACGATCCCCCTGGTTACAGAAAGAAGTGGCGTGGAGCTAGGGAGGAGGAGGAGATGCTCTCATATTTAAAATGCTCGCTGTGTACAAAAGGCTCCCCTACCTGGTAGATCCCTTAATGCTTACAACCCGAGGTCAGCTGTCATGGCACCATTTTGTAGGTGAGTACACCAAGGCCTGGGAGAGACGGGCGTCGCTAATTGAGCTTATCACCAAACATCACTGGTCTCGGAGACATCCCCATTCTACTCCTGGGCTGAGCCCGGAGGGGGAGGAGCAGGACCCTCCTGGAATCCGGTGAGACCTTGAAAGAGACAGACTCACCCACGTACTCATCCATGTTGAAAGTCTTCACATATTTGAAGGACAGGTCTCCATTCTTACAGTACTCAATGAGCTTCTTGTAGCAACCAATTGGGGTGCTCCCTGTAAGAGAGGCCACAGCCATGAACACCCTTCAGCTCCTAGTTCCTGAGGAATGAGTCAGGATTCTTCAGCAGGGAGACCCTATGAGATCGGAGACGGCAGGTCAGCTCCGAAGTCCTGCCCCCCGTGCCCCAGTGCCAACTGCCATCCCGTAAGTGCTTCTGAATGCTGAATGCCCCCCTCCCCGCCAGACTGCCAGCTCCAGGGCAGGCCTGTGCCTGTCCGCTCCGCTGCTGAATCCCGGTGCTCAGCACACTGCTGAGGGGAATGACTGGATTAGGAACCTGGGTAAATATCACACTTACATATTCCCTGAGCAACTAGTATGTGGGAGGCAGTGGGCCACAAGATGGGAACATGGAGGAGGGAGAGCCACAGCAGCCACGGTGAAAGAGCTCCCGGTCTAGGACTGCAACGTGAAGCAGTAATGTCCGCCGTGACCAGGCTAAGTCTGCGGGTTCAGGGAAGACTTCCCCAAGGGGCAGCAGACTCGTGAGTTGAGTCTCATTAAAAAGTCTCTATGTCATAAAACATAAAAAAGGCAGGAAGACCTCTGTAGATTAAAAAACTAAATATGCATGAAGTTTGGATACTGGATTATTGGGGGGAAAAACATAAAAGATAAATGTGGACAATTAAGAAAAAATGTTACTATTGTCTGTATATCAGTGATACTATAGAATGATTTTTAATAGGTATGATAGCAGCGCTATAGTTATGCAACAGGATGTACCCTTATTCTGAGGAGATACATGCCCAAAGAGCAGAGGTCAAGTGTCAGAAGGTTTGGAACTTACCTTCAAGTAGCTCGTTGTGTGTGTGTGTGTGTGTGTGTGTGTGTGTGTGTGTAGACAGAGAATATGAGGCAGAAGAGATGAAGTAGCTTCAAGTAGCTCGTTCAAAAGTGTGTGTGTGTGTGTGTGTGTGTGTGTGTGTAAACAGAGAATATGAGGCAGAAGAGATGAAGGGTAAATGTGGCAAATGTTAATAGCTGGTAAGGCTGGGATGCCTGGGTGGCTCAGTGGTTGAGCATCTGCCTTCAGCCCAGGGCGTGATCCTGGGGTCCGAGGATCAAGTCCCGCATCGGGCTCCCTGCATGGAGCCTGCTTCTCCCTCTGCCTGTGTCTCTCTGCCTCTCTCTCTCTCTCTGTGTCTCTCATAATAAATAAATAATTGGTAAGGCTAGGAAAATGGTACTGTCCTTTCAGCTTTTGTAAATATTTGAAATATTTTTAAAATAAGATGGAGGGGCACCTGGGTGGCTTAGTTAAATGTCTGCCTTTGGCTTAGGTCATGATCTTGGGGTCCTGTGATCGAGTTCCACATCAGGCTCCCTGTAAGAAGCCTGCTTCTCCCTCTGCCTCTCTCTCTCATGAATAAATATTTTTTAAAAAATAAGAAAATGGAAAGAAGCCCCACCCAAATCAGATTGCTCTTTTTAGCATCTACTAATGGCTTCTCATTTCAAAAAGTGACAACCAATCCTCACAAAGTCTCTACATACCTTGCCCCCTGGTTACCACCAGCAGCTCCAGGTAGGTCCACCTCAGCCAGCATGCTCTTCCTTCAGGGACCTATGTGATTCTCACTTCTGGCCTTTACTCAAATGTCGCTTTCTCAGAAGGACCTTCCCTGCCACCATAGCCAACGCTGTAACCGCCACCCCTGCCTAGACACTCCTTATCTCCCTTCCCTGTTTCATTCTTCTCCTTCACTCATCACCATCTAATATACTCTGTATTTTGTCAATTAACTTGCTTATTCTGTCCCACTCAGGAAGGCAAGACTCTATGTCTTTGTCATTGTATCCGCAGCACCTAGAAGAGCTCAGCATACAGTGGGCATTCAACAAATACCTGCTGAATGGAAGTTCCCTCCCTGTCCCCATCATCAGTCTGTCCCTAAGACAAGACCTCAGGCATGCCTGAGCCACACACTTCCCCGGCCTCCCGCTGAGCTTCATCATGTCCACTTTCCAAATTTCTCTGTTTCCCATCAATTCTGTGCTCCCCAATATCTAGCCAGTACATTCCTTTTCTGCTTAAGTTAGCCAGAGTTGGTTTCTTTGGTTTCCACCCAGAGCCCCGACAGAAGCCATGCTCCAAGGAACCAAAATGGAAATACTGTGCTGGTTCAAGTAGGACAGTCGGGAAGGGGCCAGATCTCAGAGGACCCTGAATGCCACACTGAGAAGCTGGGATCTGATTGTGCAGGTGATAGGGAGTTAGGGAGGGATCTCAGCAGAAGCAGAGACTCTGACCTAGAGAAGCACCACAGTTAGAAAACAGGATGTTAGTGCAGCCCCTCCAGGACCTGAGACATTAGTGGTTTCACAGAGACGTGCAGATACTGCTCCCACAAACCTCTCTGGTGCAGAGGCCCACAAACTTCATCCCACAGGCCAAACCTAGCCTGCTGCCAGTGTTTATACAGCTCATCAGTTTTTTACATTTTTAAAATATAAATATCAGAAGAATATTACTTTGTGACATGTGAGAATTATATAAATTCAAACTTCAGCATCCATCAAGTTTTATTGGTAGATGGCTATGCACATTCATTTACATGTTATCTGCAGCACTTTTGAGATACAAGGACAGTAAGCAGTTGCAACAGAAGCTATATGGGCAGGGAAGCGTAAAATATTAACTCTGTAACCATTTACAGAAAAGGTCTGAAAAAAAAAAAAAAAGAAAAAGTCTGAAGTCTCCTGCACTAGTGGATGCCACACTGGGACAAATCCACCCAAACTTGGAGAGAAAGAATCAGGACATTTGCCTTGAGGAGCTGGGGTCAAAAAAATATCCTCCCATAAAGGCACTATTCTGATTTTTCCATAAGAAACTGAAACTAGGGTCGCTTGGGTGGCTCAGTGGGTTAAGCGTCTGCCTTCGGCTCAAGTCATGATCCTGGAGTCCTGGGATCGGGTCCACACTGGGCTCCCTGATCAGCAGGGGAGCCAGCTTCTCTCTCTCTGTGTCTCTCCCTCAGCTCGTGCACTCTCTCTCTTTCAAATAAATGATAATTTTTTTAAAAAAAGTCTCTTGGCTCTGTGAGCTCACATACCTGGCCCCTTAAAAACCCTAATGCTTGCTCACTTTCGCGAAATCCTTGGCACCCTCTCCATCCCACAACGCACCAGTAGGAAGTCCCAGGGTGAAGTACTTGTCTGGCCCTGGGTTGAACTGGATGATGCGGTTCCTGATGTACTTGGCTGCCCACTCGCTGGCCTGAGAATAATGGTCCAGGATGATGAGCTTCATCTTGTCCTGGAGGCGGCAGGTGACAAAAGGAATCCGTGGTAAAGGACAGGGAGATAGGGATGCAGGCGGCTGGGGGAGGGGAGAAGTCCTTCTCACCCAGCAACACCCTCTCCCCAGGGTGTCTCTGAGAGAGGAGGAGGTAAAGACCCCACCGTCCAGGTCACACAGGCTGGGCCCAGTGCCGCCGCCACCCACCAGGAGGCGCTGCTGGAAGACAGACCGGGTTCTGACCTCAGTCCCTCCATTTACCAGCCAACCAACCGCAGGACCTTGGTCAAAGGGCTCAAGTTCTCCCAGCCTGTTTCTTCTTCCGCGAAAATGAGGACAACAGCACCTCCCTGACAGAGTCCACGATGGCGAATATCAGCCGAGGCTGCATGTGCACCACATAGTAGGGGGCTAGGATCCGGTCGCTCGACCCCGCCCCTGTCCCGCCCCTCCACCCCACGCGCTGGATATTCTGGATCCCGGCCTCCTCCTCGATAGAGGGGACCTGCGATCGGACCCGGCCGCCAGGGCAGGGGAGAGCCACGGGGTCTCCCGGGAGGGGTGCTGCCGCCCGCCGGCCTGGCTCTGCGGACCGTCAGTTCCCCCAGGGCACACGGGGGACGTAACCTTCCCGCACGGCGACCAGAGCGGGAGGCGGAGGTGGCCGTCTAGGCCAACCCAAGGACACGGGAGGTTTTCCCGACCCCGATGGCGACACCATCGCCCCTCCGGCCCCGCGCCGGCTCCGGCCTGGGGACCCGGGGCGGGGTCAGCGCCCGCGCCCGCGCCCGCCCCCGCCCGCGAGGAGGGCCCCCGCCGGCCCCGCTCCCCACTTACTCGAACGCCTCCCGCGGCAGCGGCAGCGGCTGCAGCAGCGCCGGCGGCCCCGCCCCGCGCGGCTCACGTGGCCCCGGGTCACGCGGAGCCCGCCCCGGGGGGCCGAGTGCGGGCAGACGCGCAGGGGCCCGGCCCGGAGCCGACTCCGCCCCGCCCGCCGCCCGTCACCCTCTCGGGAGCGCGCGGGCCTGGGAGCGGCCGCGGGGGTGGGGGCGGGGGCGGGGAGCTGCGGGGGGAAGAGCGGAATCGCTCCCTTACAGGTCCCGGGTTTGGGTCTGGCTCTGCCTTCGGTTTAACTTTTTTAGCTCTTTTTTTTCCTTTAACCTAGATATTACAACTTTTTTGCCGTAAATACAATTGGATTTTTCTTCCTTTTTTTTCCCTTCTGAGCTTAATCTTCACAGCAGTCTGTACTAGGGAAAAAAGGAGGTCGGTGGTCGCCCCAGCGCCCCACCCCCAGATAGCACTGCCAACAGTGTAGGCTACATTTCCAAATTGTTTTCCTTCGAATATACTTATTTTTTACAGAAATGGGAACACGCCACACGTGGCGTTCACATGGAGCAAGGTGGGGATTGGGCGCACCCCTCCCCTGGGGCCCAGCTGCAGCTCCAGAGCAGCTTGATGGAGGTGGTGTCTGTCTGGTGAGGCCCTACGTGATGTGGTGGAGCTGCCACCTCTACAATTCTGTGGACTTGTTCCTTCTGCAGTCAGAAACCTCATCTCAGCTTGAGCACTGTAGATTTTTCACAACCCCAGTCTCCAAACACATCAGATAATGGGGCCTGGTCTGCAGCAGCTGCATTCAGATGGTTCCAGGAAGAGTGACCTCATGTAACTTTAATTGGGCCTGTCACCCTCACCCCCCCACCCCCCTTACCCTTTCTGTAGGGAACCAGTTCCAGATCTCAATTAAGCCTGGCAGCTCTGAAATCAAAGAGCTTAGGGGACGAATCAGAAAGATCCCATCTGGGATCCCTGGGTGGCGCAGCGTTTTGGCACCTGCCTTTGGCCCAGGGCGCGATCCTGGAGACCCGGGATCGAATCCCACGTCGGGCTCCCGGTGCATGGAGCCTGCTTCTCCCTCTGCCTGTCTCTCTCTCTCTCTGTCTCTCTGTGACTATCATAAATAAATAAAAAAAATTTTTTTTTTTTTAAAGAAAGAAAGATCTCATTTAGTCAATCCCTGGTTCTGAAGCAAGTGACTCCAGCAAATGACTCAACTTCTCCAGCTCTGAATTTTCTCTTCTGGAACACGAGAATTGAATGGGAATAAGTAATAGTGACCTCATGTATTTGTTGTGAGTACTGGATGAAACAGTGGCATAGCTTGGCTCTCATGGCCAGCCATGATTACCTCTTCCCCAGCTTCCTTGCAGCCTTCTCTGCCCTGACATGCTCCCTGTCCTAACCTCCTGTCCCCTCATGTCGCTCCCACTGCACGCGTGGGTTTAAACTTACCCATACCCAACCTTCCATCTTCTTGTGTTAGAACTAAAATGGGATAATTAAAAGAATTGTGGATTCATCCTCACAGTGGAACACTCTGTAGCTCTCCCATGGATGGACTGGTACATTTTCATTGCTCTTGCTTTGAGGAAACACGTTGCCCCAAGCCTCAGAAAATCCTGTGCAGTCCCTGAGGTTCATGTGAGGTTTGTGAAGCTAGTCCTACCCCTTAGCCTAAGATCTAATCAATTAGAAATCTCCATGCCCCTGGCCATGATTGATTCAGGGCTAGGCAGACATGGAAGATGCATACCCAACAGCCACTCACAGGCTCCCTTCTTGGCTGCTTCCTGCTGTAGCCTCTGGAAAGTTAGCTACTCTCCCACCTTCTCAGTGAGGATGTGGCCAGGTAACCTAGTTCTGGCCAGTGAAGTAAAAACACTGCTCTGGGAAGATACTTGACTTTCTGAGAAAAGTGCCATGCTTGCGAAACAAACTGTCTCTGTTCCTTTCCTTTTCCTCCTGCTTTGAAGGCAGATGTGATGGGTGGAGCTGGGAAGGCCGTGTTATAACCATGAGGCAATAAGCATTAGGATAGAGTGAAGGCTAGAAAGAACTTAAGGACTTAATATTTGACCAGTGCTGGGGCTTCTGCTTCTGGACTTCTTCTAAGTAATAAATATCCTCATGGTTTAAACTTTAAGCCACTGTTAGTAGAGTTTTCTACAACTTGAAGTTGAAAACATGACTCATCATTACAGCAGATGATTCAGAGCTTCCTTGGAGTTTATGCTGGTATTTTGAGGAGATACGTTGTGGGGAGCTGTAAAATCCAGGAAAGCTTAGAGCTGCCAGTGAGAAAAGAGATACAGAGGTACAGAACCCTGATGACATCATTTGAGCCACTTCGATCTGGCCATGTCTGAAGCCAAATATACCCCGTTAAGTTCAGTAGTTGGATGAATGAATGAGTGAAAACATAAATATTTTTTTTTTACCCTGAGGCTAGTTAGAGAAAATCCTGGAAGGATGTTTTGTTATCTAATGCTGCATAATAGATTATTCCAAAACTCAATGCCTGACAATGAGTCCAATAAGAGCTACAGAGAATTGGGGTGTCAAGCGACGAAAAGACATGGAAGGAAACTCAAGTGTTTGTCACTGAAAGAAACTGATCTAAATAGCCTATGTCTGCCATAATATTCCAAATATATAACATTCTGGAAAAGGGAAAACTGGAGAAACAGTAGAAAGATCAGTAGTTACCAGCAGTTAGGGAGGAGGGAGGGATGAATAAGAAGAGCACAGAGAATTTTTAGGGCAGTGAAACTGTTCTGTATGATGCTGTAATGGTGGGTATGTGTCACTCTACGTGGGTCTAAACCCATGGAATATACAAGAATGAACCCTGATGAAAATGGTGGGCTTTGGCTGATTCCGATGTGTAAGTGCGGGTTCATTATACAAAAAACAGATATTTATTATATTTACATAATAAATGTGCTCCCTCTGGTGGGAGATGGTGATCATGTGGGAGGCGGTGCATGTGTGAGCACAGGAGACATACAGGCAGTCTCTGGATCTTCCTCTCGATTTTGCTGTGCACCTAAAACTGTTCTAAAAAAATATTTTAAAAAACATTTATTGGGGTGCCTGGGTGTCTCAGTGAGCTAAGTGTCTGCCTTCAGCTCAGGTCATGATCCCGAGGTCCTGGGATCAAGCCCCTGCATTGGGCTCTCTGCTCAGTGGGGAGCCTGCTTCTCCCTCTCCCTCTGCTGCTCCCCTTGCTTGTGCTCTCCATCAAATATATAAATAAAAATTTCTTAAAAAATGAAAATAAAACATTTTTATCATCTCATGATTTTTGTATGCTAGATATTCAGACAGGATACAGTGGGGATGATGTCTGGAGCCTCAAATGTAAGACTCGAAAGCTGGAGCCGGAATCATGAGGGTCGTTCACACATGTCTGGTGGTTGATGCTGGCTGTCATCTGGAACACTCACGTTGGGACTTCTCGTTGTGGCCTGGGCTTCCTCACAACGTAGTGGCTGAGTTCCAAGGGCAAGCACATACAACAGATGTGGGTGCCGTATCATGGAATGGACTGCAGAGCCACACTGTCTGGATTTGAATCCCAGCTCCACTACTTACTAATTGGGTAACTTATGGTAAGTCACTTAATTTCTCTGTGCCCTAATTGCTTCATCTATAAAATAGGAAAAATATCTTCCTTATCGTATTTGCTATTATAACTAAGAATGATTACCTCAGGGAGGAATAAATGATTTAATAGATGTAAGGCACTTAGAATGCCTGGCACAGAGTTAGCCACCGCTAAGGGATCATTTTGAGATGGGTCTCGAAAGAGAATTAGGATTTTATCATTGAAGAAGAGGAGGATGGCTTTATAGGCAGGGGTGATCCAAAACATGGAGGCACAGAAACTGGGCCTGAGGTGTTCACCAATTTAAAAAATAAAAACACAGAAGACCCAGTTACATTTGAATTATTCCTAATTGCCTACATGTATATATTTGAGATTTTTAAATATTGCATTTCTTTAAGATTTACTTATTTATTTGAGGGGGGGGGCAGTGGGGAGGAGCAGAGGAAGATAGAGAAAATCTTAAGCAGACTCCAGGCTGAGTGTGAAGCCTGACTCAGGCTTGATTCCATTACCCCGCAGATCATAACCTAAACCAAAATCAAGAGTTGGACGCTTAACTCATTGAGCAAACCAGGTGTCCCAAGACACACATATTCTAAAAACAGACTTGTTTATCTGAAGTAAATTATAAATATCTAAATTACATACCTATTTATTCCATTATATTTCCCTGGCAATTTCGCTCTCCTTAAGAGTTCCTTGTTTTGGGGCACCTGAGTGGCTCTGTCCAGTTAAGCATCTGCCTTCAACTCAAGTCATGATCCCAGAGTCCTGGAATCGAGCCTCGCCTCGAGCTCTCTGCTTGGTGGAGAGCCTGCTTCTCCCTCTCCCTCTGCCTGCTGCTCTCCCTACTTGTGCACTCTCTCTCTGTCAAAAAAATAAAGTCTTAAAAAAAATAGTTCCTTGTTTTGCAGAATTTGCTTATCCTTGTTTTGCAGAATTTGCTTATAAAATTCCCTGAAGTTACAGTCTATGTTCCATTTACATTTTAATGTGATTTCTGCAATGGTCATATTCAACTAATTCTGTTCTTGGCCAACGAGAAATTGTGCTCAGAATTAGCATTATGAACCAGCATATGGAACATGTACTTGCAAAGAGTTAACAACACTAAGAATTGCTCTTCAGATGTGATTGGTTGAAGCACATAATACCATCTTTCGTAGAATAACCTGCTTTTCCACTCTTCAGGATTACATTGCATCTCTTAATCAATAACTTTGTAAAGTGCCCAGTAACAGAAAGGAGCATTGTCATCAATTTCTATTCCTTTTTTCTTCAGTACTACACATGTTGATTTGACTTGTTCCCATGCTGAAACGGTGTTTAGTAACACCTATGCCAAAAATCTTATTTTTCAACGAGTGAAATCCATTTTGTTTTTTTTTGTTTTTTTGTTTTTTTTAAGATTTTATTTATTTATTCATGAGAGA